AAGGGTGACCTATCTCAGCTTTTTATCAATCTTGTCAAAAGACTCTGGTGCTCTGTCATGGTATTTCAGATGACCACAGTTAAAAAGCCAGGCGCTCATAATTACCAACCATTCGTGATGTGCATTTATGTTTCTCTTTTGATCCTTTCTGCACAAATATACTTCATCTGCTCATAGCTCTTACACTTGTGCAGATGTCACCAGTATACTCCAAATGCTTATGCTTGGCAAAAATCTGTATGCTTTACTGCCTATTTTGTTTTGTATAGTGCCCTATGAAGTATCACGTTTTTATGCTTCTCAAATAAATGTTGAGATTTTACCCTCAGCTTTCCCTCTTTCCTCACTTTGTTTTTTCATCTCCTATGACAAATGATCCCTTAGGACTTTCCTTTTGGCCCAGACCTCTATCTGATCTGAACACGAAAACCAAACAGCTGTACTTGTCAACGAAAACCAGTAGGTTCCCAAATGAATGCACCCTAAGCACCTTGCTTCTCTTCTTTTTGGCTACTGGCGCCTCCATCCACAGGAGCCACTCTCTTCACACCAGCCTCCTGGCACTGCTATCCCTTATTTCCACGTTCACTCTCCCCACCTGGACATCTGTAAGTATCCTGCAAATAATGGAGGACCCAAGGTCACTGCTGTGATCTGAATGTCTGGTCTCCTTCAGGTCGGAATGTTGACATACCCAACTCCAAGCTGACAGCATTAGGAGATGAGTGTGGAGCTCTGGTAAATGGAACCAGCATTCTTTTAAAAATAGCCCAAGGAAGGGGCAAGGATTTAGCTCAGTGGCACCATGCCTGCCTGGCAAGAGCAAGGTCCTGAGTTCAATTCCCGTTGCGGGGGGGTTGCGGCCCAGGAAGCTCTTTGTCTCTTCCACCTCAAGAACACAGAAGGCTTCTTTTATGAAGCAGGAAATAGGCCTCAACAGGTAAGGGATCTGCTGGCACCTAGATCTTGTACTTTCCAACCTCTAGAACTGGGAGAAATCAATTTATATTAATTATAAACTACCCAGTTTATGGTATTTTTCACAGTAGTACAGAATGACTGAGATAGTCATCCGTCTAAATAAATGAAACACCATTGTGTTACTTCCTTCCTTAAACCTCTGCAATGAATGCCTATGGCTGCCTCAGCTCACCCCTGCACTCCCAACCTAGTCTCCTTTCACTCCTTTCAGCAATCACTTTCACAACTGCAGGTACTGTACCTACTTGAAAATCCAGTCTGCACCCAGCCCCAGCCTAACCTACCAAGCCCCTTCATGCCTCAAGAGGTGTGCTCTTCTGGTCTTCTACTAGAGAATTCAGCATTCATTATGCATTGAACTGATGCGTACTGAATCTTTACTCCAGGACAGGTCATGTACCATGCAGCAATAGAGACAGACACCTTTCCACAGTGAAACAGACTTGAAACAAGCAAGCCTCTATAGAGGGGAAGACACAGGATAATCTTCCCCAGAAGCAACACTGGAGTTTATCTGCATTTTACTACAGTATCTTCTCCTACTTCTTTATAAACCAAACTGATTTAGAAGTTGCTATTTTATTTTGGCATATCTAGGAGCTTTAAATACTTTTGTTCAGAGATGATTTTTTTTGCCCTGCATTTCCTCTTTCTAAAATTCATGATCCTAGCAAAACACTAATCAAAGCCAGCATTCCTAAACACCCTGCCCCCAGCCCAAGTGCTCTACTCAGCAGAGCAGGACCAACTCCTCTCCCCTCAGCCCCAGACTGGGCTCAGCAGATATTTCCTCTTTTCTCTTCCCCTGTGGCTCCAAGCCACTCCAGGACTGGCTGAGAACTCTGAGGGCAGTAGCAGCACCCTTCCCCTTCGTAATCCCCTACCCAAAACAGAGCAGACCCACACTAAAATCTTAAATGTTTAAAGGGCAAAAGTTCACAACTTTAATGGTAAATTACTTTGTACACTGAGCATAAATTTGTGTGCCCTTTTTGAATAATAATTGAGTAATATCTGAAAACTTTTTTTTCCCCAATACTGGGTTTAAACCCAGAGCCTCCTCATTGAACTGGATCTCTAGACTTTTTTTTTTTTTTTTTAAACAGGGTCTCACTGACTCTCCAAATTGCCCAAGGCTAGGCTCAAACTTGCAATCTTCCTGCCTTAGGCTACCATAGTGCTGGGATTACAGGTGTGCCCCACCACATCCAGCCCACAAAAAACTAAAAGGTCTGGAAGTACCACTTTTAAAGAAAACGCCAGTAGTTGCTATCAAATTGCAAGTAAAATGAGGTTTTATTTTAACATCAGCTACAGTTGCTAAAAATTAACAAGTATCAAGGGCCATTAATAGGTCTCTAGCTAAACAAACTATGGTATACTGTTATCATGGAAGAGGCTCTGCCAACTGAAAGATGTTCACAACTTAGGTAATAAAAGTTGTAGCAAATTTGGTAATTTATTCTTTAGAAAGAAAAAATAAATATGTTTTACAGCATAGAGAAAAAGTTCTCTAAGAACACATCCTCATACTTTTTCTCTGGAAGCACAGGACTACCAACAGAAGAGAGAAACCATTTCATTTATACTTTAAGCTTCCAGTCACTGAATTTTGTTTCTACTTTAAGCTTCCAGTCCCTGAATTTGTTACAGGGTTTTACTGGCTTCCTATTTAAGAAATTGAGATTATACTGTTTTAATTCTGGTTTTAACCCAAAATAAAATTCACCACTTTGTTCCCGGCACCTAGAGCAGTCCTGTAACAAGCACTTAGTTAATATTTGTTGAATGAATCATAGCTGTACAATTATAAAATCAGTTACTAAAAAAAAAAAATACCTATCAGCTGCTTCACAAACTCATAAAGGAAAAAATTACTTCAAAAATATATTAACAGTTTGACTCCCAGTCTAAATGAGTTACAATTTTTAAAGTAAATTTTTAAAGATCACACAAATGCATCATATAAGCAATCTTCAAACTCTTGTACAAAGTTTACCCCAAAAAAGAGTTCTTCCAAATCAGTTTAATTCACAACCTGCAGTTTGGAACATGCCTGGTCATACATAGAAGTGTGTTTTCAGAGCATACACACACATTATTGCTTTCTCTGGAGGTGTGGGATCTTTAGCAGGGAGGAGGAACCATCCCTTCTACTTTACACTAGCCCCTGAACATGTTAGCATCCACCATGACGTTTTTAAAATTTCAAACACAAACATGACCACTAAGTAATAAATATGTAGCTGAAAATGTTGGGAAGTGAGATACAGGTCCCCTAATAAAAGAAAAATAAATGGGCAATGAGCCTTCACTTTGATCTATTTAAAAGTGCTCATTTTTACAGGTGGGTAACTTTTAGCTTGGAACCCTGAAGCCAACTTCATCTTTTCTCTGAAGACCAAGGCCCTAAAACATCATCTGCTGATCTTCAAACCCTAAATGAATGCCCAGGAAACATGACCTCATTGAGGCCGCTGAGGGAAAAGGTGGGAGACCTGGAAAAATGAAGGAATACAGTTGTAGTTTGGAGTCTTAGATGAAATTCCAAGGAAATAGCTTCGAAAGGGTTCAAGTTATTTTTCTCTTCTCTTCTCTTCTCTTTTCTTTCTCCCTCCCTCCCTCCCTTCCTTCCTTCCTTTCTTTCAGAAAACACAGGATATTTAACCAAATACTCACACCCTGGGACAGTCTTCTATAGTTATAGCACAGCTTCCTCTCACTGCAGTTTTCCTCACCTTGGAAAGTACCTGAAGTATTCGGGACACTTGGGCCCAGCAGGCTACAGAATGCTAAAAACCCACATACAGCCTGGATGTTTTTTCCCCAATCACTGTCTTAAATTCCAAGTCTTCCTTTGTGAGAGTGATTCAATTTTCACTGTGAAAACACAATGCCTGGCAGGGGTGGCGGTGCACACTTGTGATACCAGCACTCCGAAGGCTGAGGCAGGATGATCTCTGTGAGTTTGAGGCCAGCTTGAGCTACATAATGAAACCCTGACTCAACAAAACAAAAAAACACAATGCCTTAAAAAGACTGTCACCAAATACCAATAATATTTAGAGAAGGGGTGAAGGGTTAAAATATCAAATCAATGTACTGGAACCTAGCCAGTGAATGAATCTGTTGTACAAAAAAATAACAATTTTTTCAGGTTGCTCTCTGCAATCTTTCTTCAACCCCAAATACCTCTAATATATCTCATGAGAGCCTGAAAATACATATATAAAATACACCTATTCCTAATTCTTAGACTAGAAATGGCAGGTCTCATCTTCAACTTGACAGTGACTAACTACCCTAACCCCACAGCAAATATCCTATTCAACATCATCTGAGGAGGCATCGGGACAGTGTCAGTTACTTTATCATTATCACTCTGACATTTTGAGGGAGGCCCTGGCCGATACAATAGCACAAATAAAAGAAATAAGTACAAATATTGAGCAGGAAGAGAGAAAGCTAGGTTTATTGGCAGGTGAAATGAGTAAGCAGAATCCTGTCTGTTCTCTGACAATTACTCTTTCCATCTACTCCACCTGAGGCGTTTCCGCACTAGCGAGGGTGGCGTGGATATGGATGCCTAAAGTCCCTCCTGGTCCACCCAGCGCCCACTGCTGACCGAGTCACCGAGGCTCTGCCCCTGACTCAGATCAGGTCCCGGAGGAGGTGCCCAGGGATGCCGAGTGCATCTCAGAGCGGGGAAGAGAGGGCACGAAACTTGGGAAACCGTCTAAGATCCACAGACGAGTTCACTCCGGCTAATCAGCTACAAGGGTGATCTTTTACGGTAACACGCTGTCCACCTGGGCCAGCGCACAGAGCTCGGAGCGGCGGGCTGCCGGGAGCTGCCTCGGTCTGGACACAGCCGGCGGCCGGTCCATTCCGGGGGCGGCGCGGCCCAGGCGGCGGCGGGGACTCGGGGCCCGGGGAAGGCGGGAGGGGCGGCGTTTCCAGGGCGACAGCGGGCGCCCCGGCCGGGGCGGGGGCGCGGGCTGCCGGGGGGCGGCGCCTACCGTGTACCCGCGCTCCAGATCGCTCTCCTCGTGGCGGAAGGACGGGATGAAGACCTCCATGGCCCGCGCGTCGGGAGCGGAGCCGGCCCGGCCGCGCCGCTGCGGCCTGCGGGAGGGCGGGCGTCAGAGATCAGCTGGGCCGGAGGAGGCGGGGCCTGGAGGCCGGGTCCGCGGGGCGCCCCACACCCCCAGCCCCGACCCCCAGGCTCCAAGGACGCGATTGCTGCAGTTTGCAAGACGCCTCCCCCAGCCGATTGAAAGGGCGAAGAACAGTGTTCGTTTTTTAAAATTTTGTTTGGATTGGTTGAATTTTCGTTTTTACTCTCGACTGGTATTAACAGCGGGGCACCTCCTAACTTTCCCGGACTCTCTCCGCCCCCTTCTCGGCGAGGCCGCATCCCGGAGGGCGCAGCATTGGTCTCCCGCCCCGGGAGAGTGCCCTCTGAGGAAGGAGCTTTCTACTCCGTGAGGATTCTGGAGGGGCAGGGCACCGTGCCTTTGGACCAAGGCTCTGCAGCCTGGAAAGTGTCTCCGTGGAGGGCGTGGAGCAGAAGAGACATTTGGAGGGGACTCTGGGTCCCTGAGAAGTGACCTCAACCAGCCCGGGAGCACGGGTGGGGGTGACCGGCCGCCGGCTTTCAGGGCTGAGGGAAAAGCAGAGCCTCAGTTTGCCTGTGATGGCTGGGACATTCATCCGGGCACAGTGAAGTTGGGATGGGACCCTAGGTCAGTGAGGAGACTAGCCCAGCTTCCTGCACTAAGGACTTACCTGGGGTGACCCCCAAAGCCCTCTACCTCAGCCTATCTGAGGACCTCTGCCCTAGGCGGCGCCTGCACGCGAGCAGCTCCGTGCGCCCTGGGACTGGGCCACCTCTCCTTCTGCGGGCTCACCTCCTGGTGGAATGTAACGCCTCTGTGGCCTGTATGGCAAATACATATATAAAACACCGAACAGCTAGCATCTGCTAATACAAGTGAACAATTTCCATATACAGAATAATACAATTTTGCTGCAATGTGGGTACCAAAAGTATTACATTTATCTAATATTGGGTAGATGTATACTTTAACAAATAAACTGCTTTAAATACCAACTTATTGGAATTTTTAAGCTAAAAATCTCAGCAGAATGTATAACACATTTAATATTTACATAAGACTAACATCATGACTAAGGAAGGTTTATCCCGGAAATGTAAAGATAAACATTAGGAAATAATGTTGATATATTTCAAAATATTGTCAGACTTGAAAAGATAAAACCCAGTAGATTCTAAAAAATAAAACAGTACAACTATTCCTAATTCTCAGGCAGGAAGTACCAAAATGCATCTTTAATTTAATAAATGTAACTACCACAAATCCCCAGCGGGTGTTCTATTCAACACCATGTGAGGAAGCATCATAATAATGTCAGTAACTCTGTCACAACTCTATTTTGACATTTTGCAGGAAGCCCTAGCTAGCCAATGTAATAAGACAAGTAAAGATATGAGAGGTACATATTGTGGACAGGAAGAGAAAATAGGTTATTTGTAGATGAAATAAAACAAAAAGATAACTCTCTCAAGCCAGGCATGGTAGTGAACACCTGTAATCCCAGCACTCAGGAGGCTGAGGCAGGAAGATCGCCCTGAGTTCAAGGCCAGGCTGAGCTACAAAGTGAGTTCAAGGCCAGCCTGAACTACATAGCAAAACCCTGCCTCAATAAATAAATAAATAAATAAATAAAACAAATTCTCTACGTAGTAAAAAATAACTCAAAAAAACCAGAGCTACAAAATATAGGAAAATATTTCCACAAATTTAAGGTACATAAAGTTTTATTATATGATATACAAAATGTCAAAGGCACTGAGAAAGATATTTTTAGACTTCTAAGATTTTTAAATTAATGTAAACCAAAGACCACAAAGTTTAAAAACTATTCTACAACCTGAAAAAAATATTTGTAATATATAATTAAGAATTAATATGAATGTTATATTGTTTAAAAAGCTACATATTTTTTAAATGGACACAGTATGAATATGCAATTTCCAGACAAATGCAAAGACACCAAAAAACTCTGTATAGATTAGCTATACATCATTATATATCCCTATACATAACAAATTACCTCAAACTTGGTTGCTTAAAGCAATGAGTACATATTTCCCCCACAATTTCTGTAGCCCAGGGTTCTGAGAGCAGCTGAGGTCCCAGTCAAGAGATCTGCCACAATGCGGTTATCCTAAGACTCACCTGGGCTGCAGGGTCCACCTTCAAAGTGGTTTACTCCCTGTGCTGGCCAGTTAACTGTGATTATGGACAGGGAAGGAAAAGTATGTGCAAGAACACTGCATTGGGTGGAAACAAATTCTGTCAATGACAATCAGATAAAAAGATGTTGATTTATCTGCTCCATGCTGTGTTTAAAGACTGATAAAGACATTTCTGGTTTAGGATAGCAACACATGGTTAGTTTTAAAACTACAGGGATTTTTTTTTCTTTTCTTTCAAACCTATTCTTATAAAGATAGGAAAGGTAGAAGAGGAGATATTTGTAAGCTAGAAAGCCAATAGATAAGAAGAAACTCTTGAGAAATCCAAATCTTAGCCAGCAGTGGGAAAGCTGAAAGACAAGCTAATACATACACCACAATACTTGAAAAGCTTCATGGCAGGAAATAATAGGTAGTCCTAGATAGGTGGGTGGTTGTTAAAGTAAGGGTTGGGCAAAAGCTCAGGCTCAGGGAGATCCCTGTTCCCCCCTCTGTTCTGGAAAACTCTGGGGTTATTTCCTCTGAGGGTAAAAGAGGCAGTCCTTGCATTGGAAACTGATGGCCTACCTGAGCACAGACAGGGACAGACTTACTGAAAAATAAAAGGGGCCTGGAGCTGTGTGACCATAATGAAGGACAGGGATGCTAGAACCCTACAAAGGTTGGCAGCTACACCTTTACCTAAAACAAGAACAGTGTTCTTCTAATTTTCAACTCTCACTTCTAATCACAAGGAGACACCCAAAACTAACAGAAACCTGAGTAATCATCCACATGGAAAAGAACTCAGAATAAAAAATAATAATAATTTGGAGGAAATAGAAACTGGGAGGACACAAAAGCCTTAAAAACTTTATTATCACTATTCTCAGAGAGAAAGACACTGCATTAACCAAACAATAACAGGAATCTATGAAAATAGGAACAAGGGGAGGCCTCTAGTAATCTCAGCACTCTCAAAGTCTGAGGCACGAGGGTTACAAATTGAACTTAGCCAAAGTGGCCTAACCAGATTCTGTCTCCAGATAAATCAAAACTTTAAAAGGCCAGGATGCAGCTCGATGGAGAGGTCCTGGGTTCAAGCCCCAGTACCAAAAAAGAAGAAAAGAACAAGCTGGACATGGTGGTATATTCCTGTAATCCCTGTCACTCAAGAGGCTGAGGCAAGAGGATTGAGAAATCCAAGTCCATCATGGGCAATTTAGCAAGACCTTGTCTCAAAGTAAAAAATAAAAGGGACTTTCGATACACCTTAGTGGCAGGGGCACTTCACCATCAAGCATGAGGCCCTGGCTAGATTTAATGCCAGAACTATTTCGTTTAATGGATTTTTTTTTTTTTGAGATAGGGTCTTGCTGGCCTTGAACTCACAGCAGTTCTGCCTCAGCCTCCCAAGTGCTGGGATTACAGGTCCAGTGCTATTAAAATAAAAAAATCAGAAAACAGAGCTCCCCAAAAGTATAGCAAAGTGACAAAGATGAAAAATAGGAGCGAAAAATAAGTCCAGACATCCAGTATTAAAATAATTGAGACTTCCAGAAACAGAAGACAGATAATACAAAGGAAATCATAAGTAAAATAAATGGAAAAAATTTCCAGAACTGAATGTCATGTTTACAGATTGAAAAGTGCCACATAAAGTAAAAGCACACGCACTACCATTTAACAAATTTCTAAGACATTTCAGTATATGTGCTGCCGAAGTGAGCACTCTAAGACATTTCAGAACACTGTGGGTAACAAAGTGGGTTCCATGTCACCAAAGAGGAAAGAACACCTCATACACAAAAGGTCAGACAAAAATCAGAATGGATTTGGAATCCTTAATAGCAACACCAGAAGCTAGAAGACAATGCGACACTCCCAAATTCTCAGAGAAAATGATCAAGAATAAGGGGATTTAGCTCAGTGGTTTCACTGCCTGCCTCGCAAGCACAATATCCCGAGTTCGATCCCCGGTACCAAAAAAAGAATGAGTAAAATAGTCTCAAAAATATACTTTGTAATCTGAGGAGAAGAGGAAAAATACTTCTTATTTGTCCTTCCTCAGAAATCTGCTCTATCCACCAAAATGAGGAAACAAATCAAGAAAGAGAAAAACAAGGGTTACGGAAAGCATAAGATGTAAGTCAGGGGAAAAGCAAGGTGTACCTTCAGGATCACCCATGTACAACAAGGTAAGCAGTCCAGGCAAGAGCAACACAACTCGAGTCGGACCTTTCCTGCTTTCCACCACACACACTTTTTTAGCTAAAGAAACTACTAGTGAATACACTTTACCAACACAAGAAATTAAACCAAGAGAGACAAACACGAGACTCAAGGTACAGCGAATACATCCCAGGAGAAGGGTAAAAGCAATTCCAAAGTTGGGAGCAAGGGGACTTCCAGAACAATATGCTATCAGGCCAGGCAAGCACCAGCCTGGAGGGAAGGATGGACATCCCCAGGAGAGACAGGGCAAGGAGGACAGTGGGAATGGCTGCATTCCCTAAATGAGCTGTCCAGAGGGTCGGCACCCTAGCGATCAACAGAGAATCAACCAAACAGAAAAAAAGCAAGGCATGTTTTACCTCAAGAGAAAAACAGGATGGTCATTAGGCAAAAACTAAGGACATCTGAATAAAGCGCAGAATTTAGTTTATTAAAATAATTTATCAATATGGGTTTATTAATTGTAACAAACATACCATCCTAATGTAAACTTTTTTTTTTTTTTTTTTTTGAGACAGGTCTCACTATGTAGTTCAGACTGGCCTTGAATTCACTAAGTAACCCAGGCTGGCCTTGAACTTGCAGTGGTCCTCCAGCCTCTGCCTCCCAGTGTTGGGATTACAGATGTGCACCACCACACCCAGCCCTGATGTAAACTA